AATATATATATATATACAAGTATAATTGAGTATAATATTACGTATTATATTGATACTATAATTGGGGTGTTCCTCCATAAAATTCTCAATACATGAACACAAACAATTATTACACTTTAGACTGAAATCATGTAGATTTTAATGTAACTTGTGAACTTTGGAATAAATAGTGCAGCAGTTCAGTTTCCAACACAGAGTCCAACACAGAGTCCACAACACAGAGTCCACAACACAGAGTCCACAACACAGAGTCCACAACACAGACAATTGCTAGCTAAGATAGTCAGACTGTCAGTTAGTTTCATCCAGATGTTGATCTGTCTGGATGAACGTTTGCAGGGTTAGTCAATAACGTTATCGCTACCAAAATACTATGGGAGTGGAGCTAACGTTAGCTTCCCCAGCTAATGTGATGCTAACTTATATATTCTGATAAACGATGTTGATGTTAACAACAATTAATGATGCTAACGGTACAAAGCTAACGATAGCTTTCTGCTAGCCAAGAGGGCATCCAGCTAGTGAGTTATAGCACATTATAACATTATACCATTAGAACTTTATTATATATTTACAGAGACACAACAGTTCTTAAGATTAATAAAAACCAGATCAGTGTTTGGACGTGAACGAGTGAAACTGATGACTGAGTGTTGGACAAACATCAGTTCCTCTGTGTTTACAGTCGGAGCAGATCAGGAGTCGCCTCGTTAATTATTAATCCTTCAGAATAAAGTGTGAATGTGTGAAAATATCCTGTTTCAGAAGCTGATTGAGTTCAGTGACACTCGAGCAGATGACGGCCGGCTGCTGCTGACAGGAAACATCGAGTCCTCACGTGTTCCCAGAACCACCGACGGGTCTGATATTCACATTGAACCAAAAATAATAAATATAACATTTATAAAGTCCACTGACAACCAGGAAGTAATGATAGTTTTAAAATAAAAGCTTCATAAAATACATTAAACATTAAGACACCAAATAACACAAAAACAGTGCAAATGTATGGAAGTCTGTGGCTGCCAATATTAAAATCTAATAATAACAAATAATAATTAAAATAAAATTTCCATTAGTCTGCTCATGTTGTATTACAGTTAAAACTAAAATGGCTTCTAATAATATATAATAATTTGGGCAGAAATTAAACATTTCCAAACACACAGTTATTTACATGGAAATGATTATTGACCAGAGATCAGCTGTTATTGATCTCCTCTGTGTGTCACTGCTGCAGCGCCGCCTGCTGGCAGACTGTAATAACTGTAAAGCATCAGTGTTGTTGCTACGGTTACCTGCTGTTTGCTTATAATAACAGACATCAGATCAGTTTTATTACAACATACTGTCTCTCTCTCTTTCTCTGTCTGTCTCTCTGACTGTCTGTCTCTCAGTGGCCATGTCTCTCCGGAGCCTCCCAAACATAAAGCCAAGTCCAGTGCCAAAGCTCTGTACGGTGAGTCTGTTTGATGGTTTTCATTAAACTGCAGTCTAACCGAAGCGTGTCACACACACACACACGCACATACACACACACACGCACACACGCTGCTCCACGACGCAGTGTCACCTTCCTACACTTTCAAAATAAAGCTCTCTGAGGTTGGGAAGAGAGAATAAGATAATCTGTAAAATAAGTCAACGTTAACTCGAACAGCGGTTTGTTTAAATTGTCCCGACCTTCCATATCTGTCTTCATCCTCCACCAACCAGCTGAGTTCAGACTCTTTCTCTCTGACATATTCTCTATTGTCCTCATTATTATTATTATTATTTGTTCTCTTCTCATCGTGCAACAACACTGAGACAGCATTCAAAGTAAAGTACAGAATAATGTGTATTTTTATTATATTAATAATAATTCATTTGAATTATTGATTAATTTACTGTTGCAGCTAGGGGTGTCACGATTTCGAAAAATCGGATCGAGAAATTACAAATCTCAATCCGAAACCTTTCGAAACTCAAAGTAGAAAACGACGATTGGCAACACACCCCAATGTCCGCCCAGCAGTACGCAAAACAACAAACCACACACTGTGAAACTTCGGCTAAAACATCCTTCCTAATTTTTTAAGGCTGCAAAGCCATTTAAAAAAAATTTACACATCAAAATGACCGAAAATCGAAAGTCCTGCTAACTCTTGAAAATTTCACCAAGTGTGGATTATTGTGTTATTCACGTCAAAAATTAACATAACTAGCTTACTTTTCAACTGAAGCAAATGAAAACAAGATGATTTCTAGTTACAAGTTCCAAAAA